GACTGGCAGATGACCTTAATGAGAAGATAGCGCAGAGGCCAGGCCCCATGGAGCTGGTGGAGAAGAACATCTTGCCTGTGGAATCGAGCCTGAAGGAAGCTATTATTGGTAAGGCGAGAGGAGGATCTGCGTTGAGGGCATTTCCCACAGGTGGCTGTGATTAACTGTCAGTTCACCTGCCTGTCTAAGAGAGTGCAATCCCATGGCTGGTCTTGTTTTCCTGTCTCAGAATCATGGGCTTTCAGCCCCAAGGATTCTGAAAAGCAGAACTCCCTCTGGCCCAGATAGTGCTACAGAAACATTAAATTATAGGGAGTGTGGACGTCCCGGAATAATGTCAAAGGAACTGTATACCCTAAAGACCTGAAAGAATGTTGAAGATTGAATTCTCTAGATTCTCTCCTTAAAAATCTCTCTCCCTGTAACATGCCAACAACCTTGGTCAGGGAGAACCCGATGACTTACTCAGATCAGCGAGAGGAGACAGGATATAAACAGGTGTGATGAAACAAAAGATGTCTGTGAACTTAAAAACTTCAGAGGATTCAAACCCTTTAAAAATAAACCAGAACAGATGTAAATCATGCCAGTGCCATTCCAAGGGCTGAAAGGAATGCTGAGGAATAGCCTTCCCACTGCCTCAGCAGTGCTCTTTCCCGTCTCCCCAGACTGAGCAGTCTGTGTGTCTGTGGTTATTCATTCCCTCAAACATGCACAGCTACTTTAAAGACAAATGGGACACAACTGTGAGCAAGACGGAATACTTTTCATAAAAAAGGAAGAGGGCAGTGTTGTGGGAGAGCATGGCTTCACTATTGAATAAGAAGTAGTTGAGGGAGGGTGAGCTTGTGAACTGGATAATAGGAGATGTGGCTTCCTTCTGTCTAAGCAAAGTACATCTCTGGATTTCTGTTGCTTTTAAACAAGGTGCAAATGACAGTATTTTCCTTCTTAACAGGATTAATTTGAGAAAATGTAGTCTAAAAAACATTGGTACATTACACATGTACACTCATGTGAATTTATCTACTGGGCATGTAGATAGACAGAAATGTTAATAGCAGTCAGGAACATCACCGCTTAATCCATAGCCCTTTTTACTTGTAAGACTAGAGGACAACTGGGGATTCTGTCTTCCAAGACAGAAGAATCCAAGAGAGATTATACCTTCCCCCACACAGGATGAACACCAGAGAAACCATAACTCAACCTTACACTGTCTGACCGTCTTCTTCTTTGGTGCCAGTTGATAATGAAATAAGCCATGCCACAGAGCTGGGTTTGGGCAGAGTTAAGTGTCTCTTCTTATACTTAGTGATCTTGTCTGGCTAAGAAGCAAGGGAAGTGGTTCCCCCCAGTCTCTGCATCATTTTATTCTACTGGTAGCAGAGGTGAATGTAAACACTTAAACCTGATCCAGTTTGGGCTCTGTTCTCTTGTGTTCAGTTGGTGCTTTAGGCACAGCTCTCTCCATCACATCACTGTCTTTGTGAAACATCTAGTGTCAAGTGAAGTAATTTCTTGTTCTGCTTTACAGACATGTTGATGTTTGTGTTTTCAGTTGGACAGGTGAACTACCCAAAGGTTGCAGACAATTCCTCCTTTGATGAGGACAGCAGTGATGCCCTCTCCCCAGAACAGCCAGCCAGCCATGAGTCCCAAGGGTCTGTCCCATCACCGATGGACTCTCGGATTTGTGAGCCTCTCCCTAGCACCACTGGCACATCACTAGCTCAGGTGAGAATGTGGAGGCCTCCTCCAGTGCCCTGGAGCTTCACTGCTGAGGATCCTAAAAAGTGAGACTGAGGGATCCTTAAAAGGTATAGTCTGTGAGATTTCACATGGGGTCTTGGCTCCCTGTGGTGTTAGTGACATGCTCTGCCTATTCATTGTCATGGTGTCAGGTGGAGAAGGGGACAGTCATTGCTTGGTGATACAGCCACTCTGCAACTGATTCTGGCAGGCAAAACTGGGAGATACAGGTGTGGGATTTTGGTTCCTTTTCTGACCTAGGAAGTTGTGCTGCTTCTCAGGGACAACTGAAGCAGTGGGTTAAAGGAGTCTGATTAATGATCTGAAGCCTGTGCTCCTTCCCTCTAAGTGGACACTTCCTGAACTCTGTTAATCTATTTCCCTCCTCATAAGTGTACTCATTATGCCTTTTTCTGTCCCTGCAGGGTTCATCCCAGTTGCAGATTAGTGCAGACTCCAGTGAAACTCTTTTTCTACCTGAGCAGCCACCCCCGCCTCTGCCACCTCCACCTCTTCTGCCCCCTAGTCTTACCAATGGAGTGGCTCTTACTGCTGCCAAGCCCCCACCAACACTCATTAAGGTACTATTTTGGCTGATTTCTTCATTGTTGTAGTCTAAAGGAAGATAAGGTGGTTACTCTGAAGCAGGTTTGGAGTTGGAAGTACTGGATTAACAGATGCAAAGGAAGGAAACTTACTTCTCACTAGTGTATTCCTCTGACGCTAGTTGTAACATATTTAATAAGGTTTTCTGCTCCGTGATGTATTCATCTTCTATAAAATGGGTGCTGAATGCAAAATGTTTTGAATCAGTCTGTATTATCCCTAATTAGAGTCAGTGAGTCTGCACTGGATGAGCAGATGATCTGGTGTGCTGGGAAAGGTGATCTGCGTTACGGTGCAGTGTAAGCTGCTGCCAGTGCTGTGTCTACAATGTTGCCTGAGTTAGAGAAGTATGGAAAGACCCTCAGGCCAACAAACTGGAGAATTTCAAAATGAAAATCCCAGTGTGTGTTCTGGTTTACATGGGGTGTTATGTTATATCAGTGTTTCCACGCTTACTTGCTTCCTCCTTTTCTTCTAAATAGCAAAGCCAGCCCAAGTCTGCTAGTGAGAAGTCTCAGCGCAGTAAAAAAGCCAAGGAGTTGAAGCCGAAAGTCAAGAAGCTTAAATATCATCAGTATATTCCCCCGGACCAAAAGCAGGACAAGGGAGCTCCTCCCATGGATTCATCCTATGCCAAAATACTGCAGCAGCAGCAGCTCTTTCTCCAGCTTCAGATCCTCAACCAGCAGCAGCAGCACTACAACTATCAGACGATCCTGCCAGCCCCACCAAAGTACGGGTCCGCAGTGGCAGCTCCCTTAGGAAGGACTTGGTTCCCCAGTACTGTTGCCAGAAATGTGATGTTTTGGGTGTGAGCTGCGGCCACCGGGTGTAACACACTCAGTCTTGTAGGTTACAGTGGGCCTCAAAAAGGGCAAGTGCCACATGAATCGGACAAAAGTAGTTGAAGTGAATTGGTTGGCACAGGAAGGAGCATGGATATAGGTGAAGGCTTCAGTGTGCTTTAATGTCTAGGGCTGCACTAGTGACCCAGATGTTTCTGAACGTATATGATTGCTGACACTGAGGGCCTCCAGTGCCTTTCCACCTTGGTTTTGATGTCCGTGTCTTTTATTTTCCTGTAGGCCTCCAGGGGAGCAGCAGAGCGGTGCCAGTGCCCCTGCTGTGCGCAATCTCTCTGCCACAGTCAGCAATGCATCTTCAGGGTCCTCTGGTTCCAGTGGGTTGATGAGACAAAACAGTAATGCTGCGGTGGGCAAGCCTGGCCCTCTCCCTGCCAACCTGGATGAGATGAAGGTAAATACCCTGTGAAGCTGCACAGCCCCTTTTTTGCCACTGTCAGCAGGGAGTACTGAATGATGTTGCTGCTCCAGAGCAGGCTGAGGTGGACTGACAGGTGTTAGTGAGAGCGGCTGAGATTGCTACCCTGCAGCCTGTACCCGAGGTGCAGGTTTGGTGGTCTCCAGGAGGATCAGTTTAGTCCTTTGTCTCATGGCTCTGGTAGCTGCTGATGGTTGTTAGGTTAGGAGTGTGTGTTCTCTTAACGTTGCACTCTTTGTCCCCCCGCATCAGGTAGCAGAGCTGAAGCAAGAGCTGAAGTTGAGGGCCTTGCCTGTCTCAGGCACAAAGACGGACCTGATTGAGCGTCTCAGAGCTTACCAAGAGCAGAACGGTACAGCCAGCCAAACAACCTCCGCTCCCAAATCCAGCACAGCAGCTGTCCTCACAAAAGCTGCCGAAGTGGTGGTAGCCTTCCCAGCTGCCAGGCTGAGCACAGGGCCAGCCCTTGTCACCACTGGCATCGCACCAGCAGAAGTAGTTGTGGCCACAGTCACAGGTGGCAGCGTGATGAAGTTTGGCAGCACAGGCTCGACTCCTCCTGTTTCTCCAACTCCTTCTGAGCGCTCACAAATGAGCACAGGGGATGAGAACTCGGGCACTGGAGATACCTTTGGAGAGATGGTGACCTCACCCCTGACCCAGCTCACCTTGCAGACATCTCCAGTGCAGTTCCTGGTGAAGGAAGAAAGCACCAAGTCTGCCTCCTGCAGCATAAATGCAGCACCCAGGTCGGAGCGGTGTAGCACTGGTAACGGCAGAGATGCAGAAGTTAGGGACAAAGACCAGATGCTGCAGGAGAAGGACAAGCAAATCGAGGAACTCACCCGCATGCTGAAACAGAAGCAGCAGTTGGTTGAGATGCTTAGGCTACAGCTGGAGCAGGAGAAGCGCTCTCAGCAGTCACAACTGGCCCCAACGGCTGCGGGAGAAGGAACAGCCCTCGCCTCCAACCCGGGAGCATTTGGCATCCAGGTCAAGAGTGAAAACGGTTTCCTGAGTTGCCAGTCTGCGAAGCAATCCAGTGGCCAAACAGACCAATTCAGCCCTGCACCACCCGCTAGCCAAATGGACACTTCGAATCCAAGCCCAGTGCCAAAGAAAGCCGTGACGGTGAAGCAGGAGGTGCCAGCCGCGGAAGCAGAGCCGTCGTGCCAGTCCCACAGCCCGCGGCTTTTCCTTGGCCAGCAAGGGAGCGCCCTGAGCGACCTCATCAAGGGCACCCCTCCCCCCACCCTCATCACTGACTCCACAGGGACCCACATCGTCCTCACCGTGACCAAGCAGAGCGCCGAGAGGCAGGGCCTCTCGCCCCACGGGAAGGCAGGGAGCAGCTGCCCGGCCTTGCAGGTACGCAAGGGTCAGATCCCATCACTCCTGTGGGCAGCTGGATTCCTCTCTCCTCTTCCCACTCCTGTGGCTGAGGTTACCGTAGGATGACTTAACGGGGTGGAAATTCATTGCAGTAAATACTGAAAGGGCTGAGTTGCTTGCTATGGTGGCCAGTAGATAGTGGCTTTGTAAAACAGAGCAGTGTAAGCAGATCTTCAGCAAAAAAGAGTGGAATTTGACAATGAGCTGTGTACAGCAATGCACGATTGGCTATGTGCATCACAGGCTGTTCAGCATTCTTCCAAACACATGGTTCTGCCTTTTGTCAGGCAGGATCTCGGGCTTGGATGACAGGGTTTGCTGCCACAGTTCACTACTTTTTGAAAGAACAACTACGCCCATGGTAGTAAAAGAAGCAGAGTGTATTTCACCTCTTGTCCTTTACTGTAGAGATCGTAGTTGGAGTGATAGATGGGTCACCTTATCTACCAAGAGCCGAAATCAGACCCTGGAAGCAGACAGTTTGCCTTTTGGCTGCTTTTTCTTTTAATGCGTGTCAGTATTTCGGTGTTAACAGAGTCTTTCATCAGAGATGATTTACTGTTCCCCTGCTGGCATGAGCTCACCACTTAACAGAAGTGTTCCAAGCGTTTCTTCCAGGAAGGGATAAATATGCCCAGGTTTTATAGCATAAGTCAAACCCCGACATCTTCCATGACATCAGAGGAGATTTTCATTCTTTGCTGGTACATTTCTTGCACTTTCTGCAGAGCAAATAGCAGTGTGTGCCATCAGGGATGGGCCCTGAGCAGGCTATGTTTGCTGTGTAGCAGGTGAGATGCCAGGCAGCTGTCTAAATACCAGCATCCATTGTCACCCTTGACACCCCAGAATATCTCACCTGAACTCCAGCTGCTGCTCCAGAAGGGCACAGGTCTTGTGTCAGGTCTGTCAGCCCTGAAGGCACATCATGGGTAGCCCAGGGATTTAGACTGGTACTACCTCCTCTTTTAGGAGCCTGAATCACACCCCAGTCTGATTTCTCTGCTCCGTGAAACAACGATTGACTGAATTTCCTAAAGAATAAAGAGTGGGGAAAAACAAACTTTATAAATCCTTTAAGAAACAAAAGCCCTGCTCCCTGACGGGCCTGGGGAATAACTTGTTATGGATACACTTTCCTTTTCAGAGAGTACAATCATCGCCTGCTAAAACTCCCAGCCAAGCGCAGTGTCAGCCACCTGCAAGCACCCCCCAGCAGCCCCCAGCAGCAGCAGCAGCAGCCCAGAGGACTAAACCAATCCAAGGTAGTTTGCTGTCTGCTCACTTTTTTCCTTGTTTGTGTTTGCCTGCTGCCAGGATTTGTAACACAAGGGCAGATACCAGTGGGTGTTTTAAACAAGCATCGTTAGTGGATTAAAAACAAGGAGAGGCCAGGGTGGGCAGCCTTGGTTTACAGAGATGTCCCTTACTCCTGAAAGAGCGCAGCTGAACTGAAAAGGTGGCTGCTGCATGGAGAGAGGGTGATGTGGGCAGTGTGTCTGCTGCTGAAGGTGCTGTATGAGCTCACATCCCTTTTACCTTCTGATACTGCTGAGCGTGCTGTGATTTCCATTCTCGTACCTTGAGCGTGCCTGTTAATTACTTCTCTGTGAAGTGCAATGCTGCTTCAGGAAAGAGAGCACCTCAGACTTTACCCCTTCTTCAGGTGATAGCTGTAAAGAGGATCTGCTGTGCACCTCCTCCCTTTCTAGCCTGCTTAGCTGTCTCCCTGACATGTAATTAGGATAAGATACAGAAAGATTATGAAGAGTTTTTAGAGCTTGGAGGATCACTTCTGACTCGGTTCCTGGAAAGGACTTGAAGACAGGAGTCATTTCTAGTGTAGTCAGAGTGAGATATCTACTTTGCAAGGGGTCAGTGCCTTCGTTTGCTTTGAGACCTTTAAGAAAGTGCAGAAGGTAAATGAAGGCACTTGTTTTCCTCAGAGTCCCTTAGCCCGTGTGCTGCAGAGGCATCTGTGGGACTCTCACAATCCTTTTGCCTCTCTGCAAGGTCAGAAGCCAGGTTTGCAGGTGGTTATGGGGCAGCTGCCCCACACCGTGTTTTCTTTCTTGGCACCTCCAAACCTGCAGCCTTTCTTATCCGATGGTTTCCACAAACAGTCCATAAAAATTGGTGCTTTTGGCAAAACCAGCCCACCTGCTGTGTCAAAAAAGGTACCTTCCCAGCACGTCCCCATGGCCTGTGTCACAGTGATGGTTTCCAACCCCACTCAGGAAGAGAGTGGACCCTAGACCAGCTCTGCCGGCTGGGGCCTGGTGTCGCTCCTCTACCTGTGGGTCACAGAACAGATGAACAATTTTCCCGGGAAAACAGGATGGGGAAGGGCATCAACACTTACAAATGCTGGAAGGGGCATTCAGCAGCTACCCAGGGATCACTGCTCCAGGGGTGGAAGTTTCAGTGTGGGTCATGCATAGCTGCTGTAGAGGCAAAAGCCTGATCCTTGTTTGAACTTTTCTTATGGGCAGTTAGGTGCTGATTCATCTGGTAAAGCTGAGTCACAAGCACCGCTTCCTGCAGCCCTTGGGGTTTCCTTTGGAGCTCTGGTGCTGCTGAGTGCTCTGGTGCTCTCCGCCCACCATCGGGGCTGTGAAACTTGCTGCCTAGTGAGGCTGGCTTGTGTCCCCAAAGCAGGCACTGCAGGGGGATGTGGGTAAAAGACAGGCCCTGGATATATTGCACAGAGTAGGCAGAACACACAAGGGAAGTGCCCTCTGTCTCTGAAGTGGTAGAGGACTTCCCCACTCGGACAGATGAGGCTCTCCCCATCCAGGAGCAGCGAGGTGGTGGTTTGTGGTGTGGCAGCTTTAGCATTAGAAAAATCAGCAAAAGATTTCCAGCTGTGAGTTGGAGGGGAAATCTGTCTTCCACCCCTACAGCCAGGGCATACAGAGTCCAGGGAAGAAGGCAGACTGCTGAGAGTAGAGCCGTGCAGACCTCTGTGCAGCACTCGCAGAGGGAGGGGTGATGATGATAGTCTCTCAAAGCAGCTGTGAGATAGGAGTCGATGTGGACTTTTCCCTGATCACCCCTTCTGCCTTCATTCTAAACAGCCCTCATCACAGCCCAGCTCTCCTGCTGCCCCTTCCCCATCCCAGATGGACCTGGAGCAGCAACAGCACACGCCGCTTTTTGGAACTCCTTCACCTGCTCTTCCTGTTCCCTCGGTCCCAGTGAAAGAGCCACCATCAGGCTATGAAGAGGCTGTGAAACAACAGCCAAAGGCCCAGGTGAGATCCGTTGTTCTCCCTGGTTTCCTTGGAGAGCAGATGAAAAGCTGCCATTGTAAATCTGCGTAGTTTCCAGGGATAGGGAATGGAGATGTAACTGCACCTTCCTAGTTAAAATTCCTTCTGGAGGGTTTAGGGCAGACTCTAAACTGCAGGTAAAAATCCCAAGCTGCTTGCTGCCAATTGCTGATCGTACTTTCCCAGCCAGTAACGGCCTGGGGTTATGGAAACTCTGGTGCCATGCTCTGTGTGCTCATTCTTGGTAAATAACAGCCCCATTTCTGGAGTGAGGGAGGAGAGCCAGCAGCCAAGGGTGTTGCTGGAGGTGGAAGCTCACCTGGTAAATAGGAAGTTAATTCTGCACTCGCTCTCCCCAGGAGAACGGCTGTTCCAGCCAGCAGATGGACGATCTGTTTGATATCCTCATCGAAAGTGGAGGTAAGGAGACAAAGCCAGCACTTCCCATAGTCTCTGGGTCTGAGTGTAGGAATTGTAGAGCACTGAGGGGAGAGTCTGTGATGGCCCCACTCTTTTCTCCACTGTCCCTTGCAGTGCCTTTATAGCATGGGCAGTAGTCGTTAAGGCACCGAGGGAGATGCCAGTCAGACGTTGGTGTGATTCTGTGATTCTCAGTGGCTCTGCTGCATCAGACCTGGGCACATGGCTTCTGAGATACTGGTCAGAGATTGAATTCCTCAGAGGTGGGCTGAAAACTGTCCATAGCAAGGCAAACGCAAGATGAGTTTTCTTATCCTGCTGGTGGTCAGAGATGGCTCAGTCTCAGGGAGCTCCTGTGGCCCTGGTGGGTGAGAGGGATCCTTCTGATGTTCAGCCAGGCTTTTCCTCACCTGGCCTGCCTGGTTGTTTCCTGTACAGAGATTTCTGCTGACTTCAAGGATCAGTCATCCCCAGCTGGGAAAGAACCACCCGTGGCCCCGGCCTGCTCCCCACCGCCCAGCAGCCACCATTCCTCAGAGCTGGCGGTGCCAGTGTCCTTGGGGCAGCCGGTGCCCGTGGGCCGGCTGGAGGACTTCCTGGAGAGCAGCACCGGCCTCCCACTGCTGACAGCAGGCCATGATGGGCCGGAGCCCCTGTCCCTGATCGATGACCTCCACAGTGAGATGCTGAGCAGCTCGGCCATTCTGGACCACCCGCCTTCACCTATGGACACCTCGGAATTGCACTTTGCTCACGAGCCATCTGGGAGCATAACCCTGGATCTGGCTGAGGCTAACTTGGACAGCATGGACTGGCTGGAGCTGCCAGGGGGGCCTGTCATGAGCCTGGCTCCCCTGAGCACCGCAGCTCCCAGCCTCTTTTCCACAGACTTCCTTGATGGACACGATCTGCAGCTGCACTGGGATTCTTGCTTGTAATTCTGTGAGCAGAGACTGAAGGGAATGGGAATGGGAGGGCACAGGCATGCAGGGGGAAGAGGCCAGTCAACCAAAAAAAAGAAAACAGAAATGAGCTCCCAGTATTTGTACTCCTCCCCTAACAGTGTCCTTCCTGCACGAAGCCGGCAGTGGGCCAGGCCAGGGCAGGGAGAACTGCTGCTGCGGGGGGAAGAAGCTGCAGGAGCTGTGGGGCTGGCGGCCTCCTGCCCACTCCATGGAGCCTGACCCAGCCCAGGTGAGAGCAGAGCTGGCAGCCCCTCTTCCTCCAGGCAGGAGCAGTGATGGCAGTGCATTGCAGGCAGGAATTAGTTCCCTTACGTGGGACAGAGCTGGGCCTGAGTTGTTTCCAGAAGCAACACTCTGCGCCTTCCTGGGATTGGCAGATAAAGGGGGTTGCGCTGCCCCAGCACGGTTGGTCTTAACGGTTGTGGAAGGGGATTCTACCTCTGGAGCAGGACACAAAAGCAGGAGGGCTGGCTGGGGGTCTGGAGTGGCTGCCCCCTGCACCACCTGCCATCTGTCAGGGGAGGGTCTGATCTGCCGCAGGGCTGTGAGGAGCTGGGCAGAACAGGCACCTTTTCTAAATGTAGCCAAAGGGAACCAGGGTTCCCCACCAACCTGGTAATGTCTAAGCTGGTTTCCCAAATATTGCTGAGCTTTGCAGAGGCCTGCCTGCCTGCTTGCTTCACTCACCTTGGGCTGCAAAACAGATTTTTAAGGTGCTAAAATCAGGTCCTTATATGTTAAAACTGCTGTCAGTCACACCCCATTGCCCCCAGCTTCCACGGCACTTGTGACATCCCCAGGTGAGCAGGGCAGTCAGCCTGTGGCAGGGGTAGGGACAAGAAGCGCCTGTGCCCTGGGGAGCTGGTGAGGGGCACAGCTGGCAATAAGCAACATATCACTGGGGGCCATGTGCAATCTGTTCTCCTGCCTTTGCTGTGTTGGTGCCTCACTGTACCACGTGCCCCAGGGGAAAGAAGCAGCTGGGGATGGATGTCAGACCCAGTAGGTGAGAAAGGGGAAGTGGCACTGCAAAAAGGGTGTTGTATGGCATGGCACGGGTCTTGGCTCAGCAGTGCAACTGTGAGGGCCCCTTTCTGGGGAGAAGTGCAGGCCTAAAAGCAAGTGCTGGACAGCTGATCTCTGCTCTTCCCTCCTGTCCCGTGGGGTAAAAGGTAAAAGTAAATGGCTGCTTAGTGTGAGTTGATGCCCTGTGTCCCTGCAGGGCCCTGGGCTGGTGCCTCAGGGTAACTGCTGAATGAGGAGTGGGTGGACAAGCCCTCCAAGCCCTCCAGGGCCATGACGAAGCTATTCCTTGTGCAGGGTTCTGTGTTGGAAACCCAGGCCTGTGGCTTGCTCTTGTGCTGTTACTCCTGTGACTTTAAATTCCTGTGTTAGTAGTAGCTCAGGGCCATCCTGAGCAGGTGGGACATGGCTTAGGTGGGCCCGTGCAGCCACCTCGCTGCATGGCTGTCCTGGCTTTGGCACTAAGCTGGGTCCAGGCTGCTCTGGCTCAGTGAGGTGGGGGAAGCTGTGGCTCCTGAAATCCTACAGAGGTACTGACCCTGCTCAGGCAGTGAAAGAATCAACCACCATCCTCAATATCTCCTTGAGGATGCTGTCCCCATCTTTCCCTTGCACTGGGCTGCAGTGCTTCCTGCTGGGGAGGGGTAGCTGTGAGCAGCCACGTGCTGCTCCCCTGCACTTTTGGTACCTGGGCCTCTTCTCAGGGGAGGACTGGGCCACAGGAGTGTTGGTACCTCTGCTCCACGGTGGAGCAGGTGAATGCCAGCCCTACAACGTGCTCTCCCTCAGCCACTAAACTGGCAGCTGGCTGTAGTCTTGCCTGTTGGAGCTGGGAGAAACTCCTGCTTTCCTGAGCCCTATTTGCTTGTTAACTGCATGGGGAGCCACTTTCTTAATCATTTGCAGGGGGAGCCTGCTGGCAGCTTCCTTCCTTTCTGCCCCTTTCTCTCTCCTCTCCCCCCTCCCGAGTTGTAAGCAAGTCACAGCCTCTTATCTGCCTCCCTCAGTGTCTGGGCTGGGGAGGACACTGCCCCCCTTCCCCCTAAGCTTTCTGTTGCTCAAGCTACAGCATCACGTTCTGAAAGTCAGAATAACAGAGACTGGGCACTCCCCTCATTCCCCTGAGCCCTCCCTAAATTTTCTCCTGGTGCAGCCCTGGTGCTGGCTGGGAGCAGTGAGTACGTTAGCAATCGCCTTGCAGAGCTCCCACCAGCTCCCCCCGAGGGTTGCTGCCCAGCTGTGGGACCAGGTGGGTGCAGAAGGCAAGGGGTTTCTTAGGAGGAAAGTATGGGAGGACCTCTGAAATGCTAAGGGGAAAAAGTGAGGCTGCCTGTTTGTCAAACTCTCAAGCAAAATCAGGTTCTTTTAACCCCCAGTGGCAGTAGCCCTCACAAAAAACAGCTGTGTGATTTCCTTTGTACAGATAGTTACAAAGCTGCAACCAGTAAATAAAGAATGAAATTATCAAAGTGCAATGAGCTCCTAGAGGAAGGTAGGAGCGCTCCAGCTGCAGTCCTGGCCTAACCCAGCCTTGGTTCCTTGCCCTGGGCTAGGTACCCCCACTCCTTGGCAGAGAGATGCCAATGCCTCGTTACCAATTTACCTCTTCCCTGGGGCTGCTGGTGAAAGACTGAGCATACAGGTGCTCCCTTTCACCTTTACCTGTCCAGCTGTCCTACAAGTCTGAAACTGTAGGAATTTAGTGACCCTGACTTTGCCCAACACACTTGGATTGGCCAATGGGCTGAAGAACCTCAAGGAGCCCAGACAGAACCACGACCTGGATACAGAACCATCTCTGGAGGAACCCAGCTGACCTGCCAGAGCCCCTCCGCACAAGGGGCTTCTGCCAGCAGAGCGAGGAAGATGGTGCCTCAGCCCAGGAAATGTTAGAAAGTCTTTTCCCCCAAGCAGTGCCCAGAGCAGGCTTGCCCAGTTCTCTGCTTTCTTACTATTATTTGTTTGAATAATAGTTCAATAGTTCTTTGTCGGAAGAGGTATTCCCCTGGACATACATTTTTGCACCCACTGGGAAAAACGAAGTCTGATGTTCTGCCTCTACCTTGAATGTAATCCTGAATCTTTCTGCTGTAACCACTACTTGTTTGTAATGTGTATTTGACTAGCACGCACTCTCCCTCTTCCACTATGCAGCAAACGGCGAGGGGTGATCAGCACCATCAGAACTGGATGGTGTTGGGGCATCAGATCCAGAGCGAGTTTTCAACTGGAAAAGGATAAAAGTGACAAGTTAATGGGGGAGAGAATCGATCTTTAAATTGAATTATTTTTTCAGTTACAAATATTTGAAAAAAAAAATCCATTTTATTAAAAAAATTCCAAACAGCCATGTGCTCAAAAACTTCTCTGCTATGCTGGTGGGAGGGCTTGGGGCCACTCTG